TGGAATAACTGCATATTGCCACTCTGCCAACTATCTTACTCAACAGATGCTATAAAATATCAATAGTTATTTGGGCTTCTTAAGTCTTACAGATTCTAGATAAAAGGGAGTTGCTCTGAGAATCAAAAATGACAATGTTAAGTGAAAGTGCCTAGCAAAAAGTAAAAAGCCCATACAATTATGGAATTACTACGGGTGGGATTAGAAGCTTTGTTAGACTGAGAACTCATGCCTCAAGAGTCTTTATTTACCAAACTCATGTCCTAGTCACATTATACTTCAATAATTAAGACCCCAACCAAAATCCAGTCCGTAAGGTGTTAATGTAAGATGTTTATTAGAGTAATTTATTTAGCACAATGATCACATTAAAATGTCCCAATATACAAACTGTTGAAGTCTAAAGTCACAAAAAATATAAACTTAGGTGCATGAACCAAGTTATAAAAATATTATTTAAAAACAAAGTTATTTTTCAACATTGGGCCAAAAAAGAAAAAAAAAAAAAAAGAGAAAGAGAGAGATTACATATAAGAAATATAACATTTCAACAGAGCAACCTTGACCAGTCTGGTCACCTTACCAGTGAGATACTGGGCCACTCGGGTGTGACCATCATGGCAATACAGCATTTCATTACAGGAGTGCCTACTTTCTATGAAGCTATACGTGAAACATTAAATTTATTTTTTTCAAAATGAAACATCCAAGTGAAACAGAGAGCACTAACAATATATACCAAATTTCAGCTGGCTGATAGTAGAAAATTTCAATTCCATAAATTGAAAAAGAAAGTGTATTTGGAAAAAACAAATTTCAAACAAAAACATAACAAAATGGAAATAAAAGTGGAATAAATCAATGTCAATAACGAAGGTGAGTGTGTGCCTCTGACCTCTGCCATAGTAGAATCGCACCCAGGCTTCTCCACCCACCCGTCACTTAGACAAGCTGCAGAGACTGGTTAGAAGTGATAGAAAAATGTCAAACATGATTTTTAAAAGTCAGCACTACCAGTTTTGAAAAATTCCCTGGCAAAAAAAAAAAAAAAGAAAAAGAAAAATCCCACGGAAAACCAAAAAACACATTAAACAACTGCACACCAAAGGGAAAGAGCTCTGTTTTTCATTTGATGGTGTGCTGTCCTATGGTAGGATTTTCGTATTTTATCAACTGCTTACAAGGTGAGCATAAGCTCTTCCCTCTAAAATGCGCCTCCTTGCAGTGTCTTCTCTCCAGAACCCATAGAAGGAATTCTTGGCAGAGAAACACTCCCTTGTGACCAGATCCTTGTGACTAGAAGAGGGAATGATGCCTCCTAAATTCCAGAAGTCATTGCAGGGACTCAGTTTAAACTTTCATAATATTCTGATTTTTCCATCTCAAAAGCAGTTTTGTATCAGAAGATCTAAAACAATGTACACCTCGAAATCCTCCTCAGAACATGGTGCCAATTATTTATTTTAATCTGAAACAATCAGTAGGTTCGCGATTATAAAAACCTGCATAATCAGTAAGAGGATAGAAAATTAAAAAGAATATTTCATATTTCAGATCTTAAACCAGAACTCCTCTAAGACTTCAAAACATGGTCCATGTTTTATATTCTATTTCTGAAAACCTGATTAAAGCTTATCATTTGAAAAGTCCCATGGTACTTATCCCAAATGGTTCTAGATTTTTTAGCTATTAGTTTGGAAAAATGAGGAAGGAGACTAAGAAAGTTCTATTGAGACAATCCTAAAAATGTGTGGGTGTAAATGAGAATGTTCATGGTAAAGGACATGACACACAGGTCTTCATGCGTGATCCACCAATCTCACCAGCATGCTGCATAAAGGCATCTCTAGAGATCAAAGGGATACTAGATATTAATCCTGAACAGAGTTGGAGTCCAATCAGATAATCATTTCATTAGAAACCTGATAAGTTGTTGTGGTTCTTCAATGTGCTGCAATCTACTTTCATTCTCATGTTGTTACAGAAAGTTATTTTCTATCTGTATCAACATTTCAGGTATTCTAACAATACAGGATTCTATTTTCTTTAACTTCTCAATTCTAATTTGATAATTCATGATCATGTCAAGAAACTGACTTTGGCTATAAAATTCCATACACAAAAACAAATTTTCAGGAGAATCGAAGCTTAGACAAATAGATCATAATTCCATAATAGAAACAATTTCAGCCCAACTTGCAAATAACAAAGAATGATTTAATTTGAGGAAATACTTTTCAAAGTTTAATCAGAGCTACCCTAAATTAGAAAATTTTAAATTAAAATAGCTATCATTATTCAGATTTTAGTAAGGTGGAGAGAAACATAGGTAGCCTGAAAAATTACACTTCCCTAAAAGCAAGCTCACAGAGGGAGAGAGGATGGAGAGGAAAAAGGAGGTTCCCTGAAGTTCTGGTGGTCTCAATCCCTTCATGAAAGCACACATTCTCGTTTGGTGTTACAATATCCTGATTCATGTTGAAAATCTGAAAACCAAATGAAAAAAGCCAACTAAAAATGTTTAAAGGAAAGGAAAATGTGAGATTGAATTAAACGATAAAATGAGTTTCAAAAGAGAACAAGAAATAAAAGACATTAGATGATCTTCATAAAATACTGAAATTAAAAAGAATTCATCTTGTCCTTTGTGCTCACAAAGGGAAAGGAGGTTCCATCAAGCCCTGCAGAGCACAAAGGAAGCAGGTGGTTTGCTCAGACATCAGCAGAAATAGGCCCCGAAGAACTACCCTCAGCTTCTTCTATATCGTGTCCAGGAAGGAAAAGCAAAGCTCTGCAAAATGCTGAAGGTTTTAGAAGTGTAACGGTGCTTAGGAAAGATCACTGGTCTGGTGTTGCCGCAGCCCCAGTGTTGAGAGACACGCTAGGCTTCTAGGAGGAGAAAAATAGAAAGGGAGGAAGAAGTAGGAAGGGGGAGGAAAGGGCGGAAAAGCACAGGTCATTAGTAATTAGCACAAGTTCAACATAGCAAGATGCTCATAAACCTTTACATGTTATCAGTGGAGCTGGTCTGCTCTTAGGACTATAGACAACATTCTGAAGGAAACAAATAAGAATTTTCAAAATGGCACTGAGCTACATGCTCCAGTTAGGGATAGCCAAATTAGAAAGAAGTCATAACATGCTCCAAAAACATGCACTCTTTGCCCCCTCCCTACTACTTTCCACTCCCAAGTAAACATGCATATTTTCAGTAAATCATCTGCTTTATTATAGTCAAGAGATCAAATTCAGAGCACAAACATCTTCCTAAGTGCACAAACTATATTCTACCCAAGAGTAAAGAGGTGTCCAAGAGCAGGAAGACCTGCTCTCATGATGTCACTGGGCAGTACAACAGCTGGGTTCTTTTTTGCCACCAGGGAACTAGGAGTCTTGAAACAGCAAGAGCCAGGCTGCACCTTTTTCCTGTTCTTTTTTTCTGCACTATTAACATTTGGCAGCGGGAAGCAATTGCTACATAAAGTTTGAGTCTCTTCTGGTCATACTTGGCATCCTGCTGGAGAACAAACCTACTCTAGTTTTGATAGTTGTTTCCTTCCCGGACAAAAAAGCGGCATCCACTCTTTCAACTGGCTAATCAAATCAATCCCCTCCAAGCCTTTCCTTCCCCTCGCACTGCCTCCTGGAGTTGAATTTACTCATTTTTTAAGAGTTCATGTTCAAGCTTCTTCTCCTTTAATAACAGGGATACTTCTGTAAATGTTTTCTTAAAACCAAATTACACAGGCGACTTTGCTTTCAAAGCAGGCACAGAAACAGTCAATACCACGTACGATTAAGATCATCAAAAAAATACAAAAATTTCAGTTCACAAAACTGGAAGATAAGATGGCACTTCTGGCTGTTTCTCGCTTTTAAAGTAAAGAGTTCCTAGTCTATGAGTTGCTAATAAAGATGTTAATGTTACTGGGTAAAACTAACATTCATAACAAATAGAACCTAGTCATCAATAAATCTGAGGTACGAAGATATATACAGCATTTCTAAAGGTCACAGAATGAAGAATAAATCCTGGAATAATTGCTATTGCTAACAGAAGGCTTTTTGGAAGCCTTAGAAACTGAGAAATCCTATGCTGGCTCAAGAAAACACTTCTCAAGGCTGAGGTATGCACACAAGAAGAGAAACAGAGACACCATACATGTCTAGCGCCTCTTTCCACTGCAGTAATGTGAATTAAGAGTTATGCCCCAGTTAAGAGCACACTCTGCTGCAGAGAACAATGTGCTTGATCACTAGAAGTCTATTCATGGGTCAACAGTGTCAGCCTGACAACAACTGCAAATTATGTGCAGTTATTTATAAAAATTCAATATGACTCTCATATCAGTTACTTAAGAAAAGATTTACTAAGTACATCCCTTTGGACTCTGCTACTGCTTTGAGAATTTTGCTCACTACAAATTCACTGGGGACAGAGGGTTGGTGCTAGTTATAAGGTGGGAACCCACAGGAACTCAGTGCTAGCTGATAGAATATCAAAGCCCTAGTAATGGGCTAGGAGTCAAAGTTAGAGACAGATTTCAAAAGTAACAGTTAAGGAAAAAACAAAGGAAAAACAGACTGAGGGCAAAAGAGAAAGGGAAGAACTTTTAACTTGCAGCTCACAAGTTTCCTAACATTGAGCCATGGAAAATAAACTAAGTACAGTGTGCATTCAGAGAAAAGACCTGCCTAAAGAACAAAGGCCTCCAATATAACATATTTTGATGATGATTATTCTGCATCTATAAGCGTACTTTTGAAATTGATCCAGCTCTTGTGTGGTACAACTACAAAAATGTTCAAAGTATATCTTTCCACTGTTGGAGATGTTATGTGGCAGATGCCCTGGGATTAAACAGTACATCCAACAAGAACAACAATATCCTTAGAAATAATCCATATGCTTCCACTAACAATCCTCTTCAAAGGAGCTTATCAAGGTGTTCACTGTGACTGTTTCACCCACACTTTGGGGAATCCTGGGAACCACTTACCTATGGTATCATTCCTTTCTATTCCATGATCACCATTGGCTAGCACTGTTGGTTTAGAAGATGGAGCACCTGCAACAACCACAAAGAATAATTACCCGTTGTGACACATAGAAAAATGAAAAACAGATCCAACTACTGTCTAACTAGTAGAATTTTTGTCACTCTTCATAGCATTAGCTTACAACAGATAAAAATCTGTCAAAAATTTAAAGATCCAATAAAAGGAAACCCAGAAACACAGAACAGAAATGAGTCACTAATTTCTGTGGTGTCCAAGCTTTGTCCACCACTATAGGAGAGCCCTTCCTAACAGCAAGCTCAAGTCTTTTCTGTTCTGTAAGTTGTCAAAGATCACCATTATATTCAATAAAACCATCGTGAAGCACCACAAGTTTAGTCCCTGATTCAAATCAAATGCTCTGAGGACACAGGGCCATGTAAAACAACCTCCACTGGGCCGGCCCGGTGGCTTAGCGGTTAAGTGTGTGCGCTCCGCTACTGGTGGCCCGGGTTCGGATCCCGGGCGTGCACTGACGCACTGCTTCTCCGGCCATGTTGAGGCCACATACAGCAACTAGAAGGATGTGCAACTATGACATACAACTATCTACTGGGGCTTTGGGGAAGAAAAAAACAAAAAAAAGGAGGAGGATTGGCAATAGCTGTTAGCTCAGAGCCAGTCTTCCTCAGCATAAAAAAAAAAGGAGGATTAGCACGGATGTTAGCTCAGGGCTGATCTCCCTCACAAAAAATAAATAAATAAATAAATAGATAGATAGATAGATAGATAGATAGATAGATAGATAAATAAATAAATAAATAAATAAATAAATAAATAAATAAAACAACCTCCACATAAAAAGTCCAGGGCACCATCATTGCTCCTGTACATGAGGATTACATGGTCACCAGCAGCACTTCTGGAAACAGATGACTTTTTTTTCTTTTTAAGCTATTCTAATAGGATGTAGTTGTGTCTCATTCACTGATAACTACAGATATTGAGCATCTTTTCATGTATTTATTTGTCATTCCTTTTTTTCCTTTGGTGAACTGAATGGTCAAATTTTTTGACTATTTTTTAATTGGGCTGTTTGTTTTCTCATTATTGAGTTTTGAGAATTCTTTCTACATTCTGAATACCAACCTTTATCAGATGAGTTTTGCAAATATTTTCTCTCAGTCTATAATTCATAGTTTTGTTTTCTCAACTGGGTACTTTGAAAAGCAAAAGTTTTAAATTTTGATGAAGTCTAATTTATCATTTTTTTCTTTCATGCTTTCAGTGAAGTATCCAAGAAATCTTTGCCTAACCCACAGTCACAGGATTTTCTCCTACGTTTTGCTCTAGAAGTTTTATAGTTTTCAAATTTAGGTTTCACCTTGAGGCCTATGATATATTTGGAGTTAAATTTTATATATGATGTAAAATATGGATCTAGGTTCATATTTTTGCATATGGACATTTAATTGTTCCTGTATCATTTGTTGAAAAGACTATCCTCATTCCATTGAATTATCTTTGCACTTTTGTTGAAAATCAACTGACCACACTATGCATGGATCTATTTCAGGACTGTCTTCTGTTCCACTGATCTATAAGTCTATCCATTTTGCTAATACCACACTGTCTACATTACTGAAGTTGTATAAAGTCTTGAAATGAGGTCATGTGAGTCCTCCAAATTGGGTCTTTTCCAAAATTGTTCTGGTTATTCTACTTCCTCTGCTTTTCCATATAAATTTTAGAATCAGTTGTTGATTTATACAAAAATCCTGACAGAATCCTGACTGCAACTGCGTTGACTATATAGATCAATTTGAGGATGTACAACCTTTTCTGAAAGGCTCAGACTACAGCTAATATTTCAGCAACCTGCCTAGCTCTGCAGTCAGCCTGCCAACCCAAGAGTTTCCTACGAAATCACTCTCAAGAATCTCACAGAGATATTTTTCATAAGACCAGTGAAAATCTAGAATGTATGCCACTAAAATATAAAATGTAAGATTTTAATTTGGAAGACAAGAGATTACACAGTCCATGTCCTGGCTCCCATAAATCCAAGGCAGAAATCTTTCACATAACTCATTGAAAAGATCATTCAGGGCCGGCCCTGTGGCTTAGCAGTTAAGTGCGCGCGCTTCGCTACTGGCGGCCTGGGTTCGGATCCCGGGCACGCACCAACGCACCGCTTCTCCGGCCATGCTGAGGCCGCGTCCCACATACAGCAACTACAAGGATGTGCAACTATGACATACAACTATCTACTCGGGCTTTGGGGAAAAAAAAGGAGGAGGATTGGCAATAGATGTTAGCTCAGGGCCGGTCTTCCTCAGCAAAAAGAGGAGGATTAGCGTGGATGTTAGCTCAGGGCTGATCTTCCTCACACACACAAAAAAAGATCCTTCATTCTGTTATCTCAGATAAAAGAGGAACAGCTGAAGAGAACAACCTAAAAGAACAAGGCAGACTAAAAAGAGAATATCAATTAACTGGAAAAAGAAGAGGGAAATAAAGGAATGAAAGATAATAGACTTTTATTAAATACCCACTATGTACCACACACCATGCCAGGGCTTCACATATTGTATTTTACTTATCCAGAGAGATGCCAAATACGTTCTATCTCATATTTATGCAAATAGGATAGAATATATTTGATATAAATAAATTCCCTTTTACCCTCACATTTAAGTTCATAAAATTTATTCTTCCTAGCTCAAGAAAGAATGCATATTTTAAAAAACCTGCCTCATTTTAAAACGCAGATTACAAAAAAAATAAAATGCAAATTATAAAAAATGATCCCATCTTTTGGCCATGAGAGTGATAAAATCTTTTTAAAATTTGATAACAGCCAGTGTTGGCACAAGTGTAGGAAAATAGGTAATCTCATACACCTTTGGGGGAATATAAATTGGAACAATTTTTTATGAGATAATTTGGCAGTCTATCAAATTTCGAAATACCTGCTTAATTCAACAATTCATTTTAGGTATGGAGTTCACCAAAAGACATAAAAAAGCAAATGAAAATGAATGTAAATAGGATGTTTATTATGGCATTTTAAAAAGTAACAAATGCCCACCAATAGATTCACTAAACTGTGAAATAACACACAACTATTAAAAGAAATGAGGTAGCTCTTCACATATCGATACGGGAAGATGCCAAGAAATGTTAAGAAAAAATAAAAGCAAATATGGCATAACAGCATGATAAAAAACAACACACAAATAATCAGAAAAAACATGAAAGAATACATACCAAACACCACTGGTAACTGCTAAGGAATGGAGTGTGGGGAACCACAGATGGGGGTAAAAAGGAAGACTTTCACAGACATAAAGTCTTGTTTTATAAGAGCACATTAAAGAATTTAAAGAGTGGATAAAGGTAGCCAACTGAAGCACAAAGGTCAGCCTCAACATACTATCACAAGCACTTAAAAACAGCAGAAAAGATTGCTTAAAAGAATACGGTAATGAAAGATCTAAAAATCAAGAAGGGTACCCTCAGTGGACCAGAAATTACAAGAAATATCCAAGAAAGTGAAAGCAAATATGACCACACTGAAGGAGAAATCACAGCCCAAAGAAGGCAGAGGAAAGCAGGACTCCAAGGTACTGTAAGCTTAGAGACAGCAGAGATGATGGGACTCCACTAAAAGCTGCGAGGCCAGTCCCCACTTCTCCCACGCTTTCCTTCCCTCACAACAGTCAGCTTTGTGCCAACTCCCAGATGGGAGCAGAGAATGAATGCTCTGGCACAAGAGGAAGCCAACTCACTGGGTGATCAGTGATACCCAGAGGAGTGGGGAGCCCCACACTCCACCTGGCATCACTGTTGCATTCCTGCCAGAGGCAGGTGGTAGAAACTGTCATGCATCATAGGGAATCTCGAATAGACAGTATCGCCAAATAACTAAGGAAAATTACTACCAAAAAATAAAGGCACCACATTTGAAGAGAGTAAGTATCACCCAGGGTAACAATGTTGATATAGCAAATAGGAGACTTTTAAAAAAGAAACGCATCATTTCCCTCAGAAAGATAAAAGAAAATATCACACATCCATGAAACAAAAGCAAGCCCCTAAACAAAGTGAATTATCTAACGACTGAGTAGCAAATCCTTTCCCAGGTTAGATAATTTCCAATTCTTTACTTTCATCAAAATTTAAAAGAGGTCATAACGAAGTTGTCACCGGATAGGACACTGAAAATAATTTTCAGTAGTATTGAATTATGGAATTCTTAGCATATAAATCAAAGAATTGACGGCACTGCCATAATAAAGTTTCTATTTCACATACTTATCTATGTGAATAAGGTTTTTTGGCTATTATGTCTATAAATATAATAGGAGTAAAAATTGCTAAATCCTGTTTCAACCTAGCAAAACAGTTAGTCACAAATTCATGATCTAATCAAGAGAAATAACAGACCCTCAACATCTGCAAATCAATCAATGTGATATACTACATTAACAAAATGAGGAATAAAAATCACATGATCATCTCAATAGATGCAGAGAAAGCATGTGACAAGATACAACATCTACTTATGATAAAAACTCTCAATAAAATGGGTGTAGAAGGAAAGTACCTCAACATAATAAAGCCCACAGATGACAAACCCACAGCCAACATCACACTTAACAGTGAAAAATTGAAAGCCATCCCTTCAAGAACAAGAACAAGACAAGGGTGCCCACTCTTGTTGCTCCTATTCAACATAGTACTGGAGGTTTTGGCCAGAGCAATAAGGCAAGAAAAAGAAATAAAAGGCATCCAAATTGGAAAGGAAGAAGCGAAACTCTCACTCTGCTGATGACATGATTCTATGTATAGAAAACCCTAAAGAATCCACCAGAAAACTATTAGAAATAATCAACAACTACAGCAAAGTTGCAGGGTACAAAATCAACTTACAAAAATCAGTTGCATTTCAACACACTAATAACAAACTAATAGAAAGAGAAGTCAAGAATACAATCCCAGGCCGGCCCCGTGGCTTAGCGTTTAAGTGCGCGCACTCCGATGCTGGCGGCCGGGGTTCGGATCCCAG